ATCAGGCAGTGTTTGGAAAATGGCTTATCACCTCTGAATCATCAAAACACATTTCATAAGGTACAAATGTATTGCTGCAGCAGAAGGAGAAATCTGCTTACTTTTCACTTACTCATTTATAACCAGTGTTTGTTCATTTGTATGTTTCAACTGGAACATCATGTTTCATGTTCCTTTAAATATATCTAATGAATGGATATGCAGCTGCACAACTGTGCAACTTTTTAAAATAAGTGTAAATGGGCACTGAAGATTATTGAAGATTAACCTGTGAAGGGGTAATTGCTGACCAGAAATTTCAAAACAGAAAAAGATGGCGGTGACTACAAAATGTTCTATCTGGAAGTACTTTCCTCCTGGCCCTGGTCAGACAGAAAGTTAAAAGGAAAATGTTGCAAAACTTCAAATAAGCTCTTATCAGTCAGTTGTAATACTGCTACAGAACAATATACAATATCTGGAAGCACACAATGATCCTATTGCCTCCAAAAGTCATACAAGAAGCCTCCAAAATGCATATTATGAAAGAAATCTTCTCACCCACCAATTTTCAAACAGAAAACCAAATTTTCTGAAAGTTCCTCAAAACATGGCTATGTCAGCAGGCTCAAGGAAATGGTGATCTAATTAAGATGGTTGCACTGCTTTAGTATCAATTTTTCTCTACTATCTTATTTGTAATTGTTTTTTTTAATTTTTTGATTTTGCAGTTGTTTTTATTGTGTACCACCTAGAATTGCTTTTTTGTGAAATGGGTAACTATATAAATATGATAAATAAATAAAATATTGTAATAATAATAATAATATCCTATCAGTTCTTGCTCACAGTATTCCTTGCAAATCTTCCAATGTACCACTGTTGCTACCTTTTGTGCCGTTGTGCTCAGTTTGCACAATCATCTTGTAGCACCCAACTAAATACTCCTCTATTTCTTCAGCTTCTTTGCAGAGGCAGAATCTGCAAAGAAGTTAAACAAACAGGGGACCACCTAGTTAGCTGCTGCAAAACAATCAAACAGACTAACTACAAACAATGACATGAAAAAGTAGCAACAATGGGGAATTTGAAAATTTTAAAGAAATACCATTTGCCTGCAAGCAAGAACAGGTGGATTCACAATATAGACAAAGTAATAGAAAATTAAAAAGTTAACATGCACTGGGATTTTATAATTCAAACAAAGATTTGCCACATAACACCCCAGAAAGGCAAAAAGTCTAAATAGTGGATATTGGAGACAGCAGAATAGAAGAAAAAGAACTGGAGAAAATCACAAAGTACAAAGACCTGCAGATAGAAGTGGAATGATTGTGACAAAAGAAAGCAAAGATAGAATCAACATTAATAGGTACCTTGGGTACAATCCCAAAACATCCGGAGCACCACTTGAACACCATTGGTAATGATAAAATCACCAATCAGTTGCAAAAGGCAGCTTTATTTGGAACAGCTTATATCCTGCAACAATACTTTTGTTGTTGTTGTTGTTAGTTGTGAAGTCGGGTCCGACCCATCACGACCCCATGGACAAAGTTCCTCCAGGCCTTCCTGTCCTCTGCCATCTTCTGGAATCCATTTAAGCTCACAATACTTTTAACAGCATCAAACAACGTCTGTCTGTCTATCCCAGGTCCTTGGGAAAGACTTAATAGATGGATAAAAATGCCAAATCCAGTCTAAATAACTGGCTGACCATGTGACAAATGGTAATAAAATAAAAGGTCAGCAGAACTTCAGCTTAACTTGATGAGACTTTTTAAATTTTAGGCTCAAACCTTAGGCTCCAAAATTGCTTCTTTTAACACTGACAGAAATGATAGATATAACACTATTCTTTGTTCCATTGTTAGTCTTAATTTTGTGAGAATTATTTTCTGATCTGCTAATATTAATAAGGCTGCCTTATATTTCAGAGCTGGTTAAATTTCAGTTCAATATTTTGTGCCTCTACGGTTGGTTTGATTGCTCTCTTGGAGTGATTTTCCACCCAATCCTCTCACAGTGCTGTTGCCGTGAAAAAAGACAGCTGTATTGATATAAATTATTTGAAAAGGGATAGGAAATTACCCAAATGAGAAAAAGGGCTGTTTCCAGAATTATGCAAACCAGGGTCCCTCTTGGGATACAAGGGAAGAAGACAATCTATCAATGTCCAGTTCCCAAGCAGCTTCTTTGCCCTTGGCAATTTACACAGCAAGGTTGAAGAATTCTTCAGAACAGCCTGGAAGGGGATACTGGAGGCTGCAAGGAGGGAAATGGAATCAGGAAAAATCACTGTGCCCAGCCATGCCACCTGAGGGACTCTCCAGTTAACAGGTCAGAAATAAACTTTTCTAGCTCAAACTCAATACATCCAAATCAAAGGCATCTTTTCATTTATGGGGCAGTTTATTCACTGAAAATACACCGAGGACAACAATCCTAAAATAATATTGCAAAATTGAAAGAAAAAAAAAATAAGGGAAAGCAATGAACAATTTACATGATAATCAGTTTCCACGTGTAATGGGATCTTTTTCTCTGACGTAAAAAGATAAAAACTTGTGATCACTGAATATCTTTAAAAGGATATAAAGAGGCAGAATGGGAAGACTCTTCACCATCAGAAGTTATAAAATGAAATCTTCTCCTCGCAGAGAGTAAAAGATGTACAGCTAGAACTGAAGATCTGTCTAAGTCAAGTACTGGCACTATACTGGCTATATGGGGATCTTAATGGTTCCTCCAATACTGATGCCCTAAATCCTGGATGATAGACACTGTTAATGATAATCATATAAGCATTATCCTCCCCAAGAGAAAACGGGTAATAAAAAAGAAGACAAAAGAAAATATAGACTTTTATACTATTGTGACATATTAATTTATACAGAGATAGAAAGTATCCTTGCAGTTCAAGCTGAAATACAGACATTACAGGGTATCAGGAAGATTGTGCCCTAGAATCTGTGCCTGCTGAATTTGCATCCAAGCTGTGGATGCCAAGTTTCAGACATGATTCTGCTTTGCTTTTTTTTCTTTAAATGGAAGTTGTACATGGTAACTTTCCATAATAAAGCATGTTCTCAGTTTATGTTCTTTGAAGAACTGGCGAATATAGGACTTTCTCCTGAAACATATCTGAACTAGGTATAAGATATGGCAAGTGGAAAATAAGAAAAAAAATATAAGGAGTATAGGAATAAAAATAACTTGCAACTAGAAGCAGACAGGAGGAGCTACTAAACATGCAAATAGATGATAAGGATTTGAGAATAAAAAAAGAGGAACTAAGACTACAGCCTACTCATCAAGGAAACAGACCAAAATATACATAGGAACTGACTGTTGCTAAGGTCACAGGTATTATGGATGATTTGGGATATTTCCTATAATGAGATTTGTTTTGCCTTAAAGAAGCCAAGCAATGAAATGAATCTAGCCTGAATCTGAAGTTCTGTCAAAGTTCTGAAGTAATTGGGTTCATTTTCAATAACCCAATTCCCAGGCTTAGCCACCATAGCAAAATTAAAGAAAGCACTCAAATATCTATTTAACTTATTAATTTGCAAAACAGTAGCTGTGGTGTAGTTTGTGGCATAAATTTATAGCATAGGTTTTGTGAACAGATGTCCATTTCATCAGAGGAATGAAGGTCTATCCAGCTGTCATATACATACACACATGGAAGAGGAATTACAAGCATAAAGTCAGAAGAAAATGCAGTATAAAAAGAACAGACAATGACCATTCCTATTTAAAATATCTAAAAATATGCAGATCAGATTATTTTTAAGATTTTGGTTGCAACAGAGGTAGCCTTATACAATACCATTAGATTATACAGTCCATACTACAGGATCACTTATTTGAAACTATGTAAACAAATAGCAATAATACTTATACTGTATACAGCTTCATAGTACTTTACAGCCCTTTCTAAGGGCTTGTTGCCCCCAACAGTCTGTCTCCTTATTTTATTGACCTCGGAAGGATGGAAGGTTGAGTCAACCTTGAACTGGTGAGAATCAAGCTCCTGGCAGTGAATTTATTTGAGTACATTTGTTTAGTAAAATGTTATGTAAAATATGTGATCTCTTTTAATTTTGCTTATTTCCAATCAAAATGTACAAAACACTGATTTTACATGAGAATTCAGCATAATACCTAGAATTGCTAACATTTTATCCAGGGCTGGCATTAGGTCAAGATTGAGTAGGCACTGGGGATCTTTCTGTTCCTCAATACTTCTAGCCCTTCACTAGATCCTAAATCCAAAATACAGTTAAACCAATTCCAGAGCTGATCCAAAGGAGTTCCCACTCATTGGACATAGTAGGAAAAATTTATTGTTTGTTTGTTTTTAAGAAAAATGACAAGGAAATGCAAATATCTCTTTTGGCTTCATATAGACCAGACATATCAAACACAAGGCCCAGGGGCCGGATGCGGCCCGCAAAGTGGTTTCATGTGGGCCACAAAGCCATCCTGGAAACAGTGAGGGAACGGCCCCCTCTGCCTTGGCCCTGGCCCAAGCCAGCCAGGAGCTAATGTACAATTTTGTGGTGGCAATGTATGCTGAAATGCATTCAGTCTTAGCTCCATAAGCCCCCCCCCCCCGGCATGGCCTGAGAGGAACAGTGAAGCTCCTCCAGTGGATCATGCCTTGGCACTTGCCCTGGTCCCACCCCCTTCTTCCAGAGACCCTCAGATTTGTCCCACTTCTGCCCAGGCCCCCACAGGCAGCCTTGATGCAAACGATGTACGGCTGACCACACCCACCCAGTAGGCCACACCCATTCCATCCACACCCACCCTGGCCACACCCACCCAGCCCCCTGAGGGCAACCACAATACTGATGCGGCCTTCAATAAAATTGATACCCCTGATATAGACTGTGCCAGTCAGTAGCCAGCAAGACACTGGAGACTTCTTAGTGACTTGATATCACAAAAATTATGTTTCAAATGTAGAATTATGTTGTAAATCTCTGGATTTTAGTGCTCGTCTGTGTCACATTTGACTGCCCATTAATATTCCTAGTGGCAAGCTATATACTTATTAGTAATTACAGATTAATCAGGGAGAATCCAGATTTGGCCATGAATGATTTGTAGTTGACCGTCACCCTTGATGATCATCATGATTTCTTTCCCTGATATAGCAGTCCCTCATCATTGCTGATGTTCACATTTTTAGCAAATGCCAGACTTTTTTTTTTTTTTTTTTTTGGGTGGTGCATTGCTTAATCCACAATAGGGAGCAACATAAGTTCCTCTTCTTCAACCCTTGTGTCTAGTAAAGCAAACTATTTGTCTGGTACAAATCTCTCTTTTCTGTTTTAATTAGCACCTCTTGATTTTCCAGGGAAACATGAACAAGCTTTTGTATCTCATCTTCCTGGTCTTCTTGTCAGGTAGGAAATTGCCTTTCACTATTGGTTGGAAATGTGGTTAGCTGGCTATACATTATTGTTCAATGCATTGTATGAATGAGTCCAGTAAATACTGGAAGGGCTTTCTGCTCATGATACTTTTTAAACAGTTTTTTTTTAAATTATTATATTATGTCTCAACTCAGTAAGCATTATACTAAGTGATTAACAAGTTCCTCCAGCTGGGCAGACTTAATATTTTTATAATTTTGAATATAAGTGATGAAGTTATGGAAAGATGATTTAGATGTGAATCATGTAAAGGCAGAATAGAAGGAATCACTTTCAATGCTTTTTCTCTACATATTTTTTGCCATCAGATTTCATGGACCATAGAAGACTTGTCAGATGCATAGAATATTGTTAGGAGAAAGAAGAATATTCAAAAGGAGGGCAAAAAGGAGGGATTAGTAAAAGGGGAGATCAGAAAGAAATTCAGGGTAGTGATTGTTGACTGTGTAAAAAGCTTGAACACATTACTGTTCTAGATGTATGGATCTATATGAGACTGTGAATGATGTGATTCAAGAATTGCAGGCTAATTGCCCCTCTGGACAAAAATAGAAGATTGGAACCAAACTATGCTATCTTTCTTTTTCAAGAAGTGTATACAGCTGAGAAAATTACAGAGGTTTTTGGTGTTGAAGGGGAACCCATTTCCATCAATTGCTCCTATAGTCCTCAGAAGAACCAGTGGAGAGAGAAAAGTTGGTGTAAGCACATCAGTGAGGCAACGTGCCAGCATATTGTCAGTGCCCGACGTTTTTGGCTGCCCTTCCTCAAGAGAAGAAATGGCACCACTGCCATTGCTGACAATATCCAGGAAGGATTGCTCATGGTAACCATCAACCCACTCCAGAAACAGGATGCTGGTTGGTATCAATGTATGACACACTTCTTGGGGACTGTGACAACCTTGCAGAAGGTCAAGGTGAATGTTCTGACAGGTAAGTCTTTAGTCCTAAACCTGTTCTGTCCCATCATCAAATAATTATTTGTGGTTATAAAATTCTGATTTCAGTTAAGATTTGAACTGTTATGCCAGAGGTTGCATGGCTGGCTCAGGAATTCTGGGAGTTGAAGTCCACAAGTTATAAAAGGGCCATAGTTCCCCACCCCTGTGTTATGCAAAGATAGGAAAGAAAAGAGAAAGAAAAAACTAGAGTGTCTAGTAGAAGAATGGAGTGGGAATTTTGTGAGTCTTTGTGTATATTTCAGGATGGAGAAGTAGAGTCAAAGGGGAAGCCCTGTGCCCAAGAAAATGGAGATGGGAAGCATGGGGAATTTCTTCTTTAGCACATCTTCCCTTTCAGTTGAACTGTACCCACTATTTAGAACAATTAATCTTGTTTGATGATCTGTTTATTATATTTATTCTTACTGACTTAAATATGCATTGCTGCATTTTTGCCACCAGATATAGATGTACAAGAGACACTCAGAATCCTTCACAGCATCTCCGGGTAAGACTATATGTTCATTTTTTTTTCATTCTGCACTAGAGTGTGCAATTCAACATTAATAGGCTTGGATTAGAGAAAGGAGGGATTTAACTAAATATTAGAAAGAATTTCACAGTGGTCTGATTTGCATTACAGTAGATCAGAGTGACACAGAAAGTGAGGCTCTTGCTTTGTTATAGGTTTTGAAGCAGAGGCTGGATGGTGCCTTTTGCTTCAGTCTCTTTTTTGAAGCTACTTTTTCCCCCCGGTGGGAATTAATTCCTGCTGTGAAGCCCTATCTGCAAGAAAGAGAGCTTTTAAAAAATATTGTAATATATATGCAGCGAGCATGGGACAATTTGGGTTTTTGCCTCCACTGCTCCACATTGCTGGAAATTGTCACAGGAATTTCGGCAAGAAAGAAAGAAAGAAATGGCAGGTAGCAGTCATGACCATTCAGTCAAAGCCCCTTTTTATTTAAGTTGTGCATACCACACCCACCCACGTTAAAAGGAATGTGGCTTTGATTGCACAGAGACTGCTATCATATTTTTTTACTCTCTCTGAGACCAAACCTGACTGGGAGGAATCCAATCATAACTTTCTGGTCTGATGACATCCTGTCTTATCTGGTCCTCAGGCTGTATGTTTCCAACCCATATAGGGAGATTTTCAACCATTTGAAAATCCAAATTCTGGACAAGGAAGGATTTTTTTAATTTTAATTTCAGCCAGAAAGAACATTAAACAAAGAAAAATTGATAGGGCAGACTTTGGTACACATCACAATCAAGGAAGAAGAAAGTGCCTCATAACTCTAAACCTGTGTTTCTCAGCGTTGGCAACTTTAAGATGTGTGGACTTCAACTCCCAGAATTCCCCAGCCAGATTGAGGATAAATCTAAAAAAAATAGAGGTGCACACCTCCAAAGTACAAATGATAGCGCATTCTCTAGCTTTGAGTATTAACTGCATGCATATTCTGAAATATATAGGACAGGGCAGGAACATCTGCAGAAGGATCAAAAAAAGGGTAAGCAGTAAAGTAGTTCAGATTACATGATCAGAGAGTTGCTCCAATTTTACATGCAATAAGGGAGGAGGAGGCTTCAATTATATGGTCACAGCTGCCCTTTTAATTTTGTTGACACTCAACCCTAGAGGTGCCCTGCAGAGAATGAGAAGTTATCATTGAGGGAATTTATAAGCAATCGCACCTTTGATAGAGCAGCAATCCCCATTCAACCGAGCTTCATAATTCTGAATATAAGCCAGAAATGTTTGGTCAAATGGGACAAACATTATACTGTACAGTTTAGATTTGTGGAGTTATCTTACTGTGTGGGGAGTGTAAAGGCTAAATTGAAAACCAGATTCTCCTGCAAATTCACAACCCATCCCAACCCCTATTGCCAAGTTCTGCATGTCTGATTAATGTGGAACCAGAAATTTCAGAGAAAGAAAAGAAAATGTTGGAGAACTATTATTACTCATATTAATATTTTAAATATATAAACAGCCCAATTTTAAAATACTCCGGGCAATTAGAAATAAAAATGTTAAAAACAAGAAAAAGATGCAATGTAGACAAAAATGAGGAGTGAAGATGGCAAAGGTGGCAAAAAACAGTTGGGAATGCAAAATAACAAGCCCACATAGTCCACTCCCTCATGTCAATAATTGTTACTACCAGATTTCCTAGAAAGCACTGCTTAAAGTTAGTGGAAAATGTTCTGAATTCAGTAATATCTGATGTTGTCTTTTTTGATCAGCAAGGATTTGCTGGGACTTTCATTTCTGACTTTTATCTGGATAACTTAGAAATTGAACCTAGGATTTCTTCTTGGATAGCAAGTGCTCTGTGACTGAGCTATGGCCTTCATCAAACAATACGCAAAGTCCTCTTTTTAAAATAAACATTTTCATTCTACATTACCTAATTCATATATATTTTATTTGTGTTTTCTCAAAGCTCTTCTTCAAATGCTGGAATTAATCTCACTTCCCTGGCAGCTGGCTTTCTTGGTTTCAAACTACTGGTTGCTATAATTATCCTAATTGTTGCCAGAAGCAAGAAGAGGACTACTGGGAATGAGAGCAGAGGAGAAAACCAGCATTTTCATCTCCCAATCATCACAGGTGATAGCATAAGGACATAAAAAGTGTCCTATGGGATTAAACCAAATCTTATCTAGCCTAACAGGAAACCATAGGCTTTTAGAAATCCCACAGGCAATACAGGAAACCAATAACATTCTCCTACTGTCATCTCTCTGATTTAGGCAATGCATGGCACTCATCACTCACTGATTCCCTTAATTTCTTCTAAATTTGCCTAATAACCATTAAAGCCATCTTGTGGTATGAGTTCCATCATCTACATCTATGCAATGTGAAGTAGTACTTCTGAATAGGAGAAATTGAAAGCCGGTTATAGCAAACAAGATACCTTATGTAGAAAAATAAATGAGTATGGATAGCTGTATATGCTTCCACATCGCAATATATTCATTTTATATGCAAGGTGAAAATTATGAGAGAAGAAATGCCCAAATAGGCCTTTGATGCTTGCAAAACAGAGGTTTCTTGAGTTCCACTGCCAAGAAGTGCTACCTAGTGATCCTATAGAGCAGAGGTCCACAACCTTTTGAGCACCAGGGACCGGTTCCATGGAGAAAGGTTTTTCCACGGACCAGAGAGTGTGTAGTTTTGTGTGCTGCCTACATCCCACGGATGGGGCTTTGCTTGTTTGTGCAGACCAGTTGCTGGCATGCCATGGCTCAGTACTGGTCTACGGACCAGGGGGTTGGGGACCCCTGCTGTAGAGTTGATGAAATATGAATTTTCATATTTCCAGTAACATCCTAGAATTCTAAAACCCATTTTCAGTTACTCTAGAAAAGTGATCACCCTGGAAAGAATAAAAGATCTCACAGTTTTGCAAAGGACTGCCTCTAATGTGACTCCTTGACCGAGCACTTACTTTGCTTGTGTTTTGAAGCCAGATCCAACTCAAATTTACTGTTTCTTCTAGGTACCTCAGAAGTTCTTAGAAATAGAGAACTTACTGGCTCCTATTGTCATCTTAATTATTACCAGAAGCAAGAAGAACTGAACAGATCTTGAGAACTTGTTTCAGAAGCTCTTGCCATTCTAGATGAAATTTCTGTGCCATTTTTAATGCAGACACTGAAGCAATGAGTCAGGACTTTAAAATCATGCATCCAACTGCAGGTCACAAGTTCTTCAAATGACTCATTGGCCGGTGTTGCTTTTGGATTCTGAATTTTTACAATATTTCTTTTTTCAATCTTTTTTCTAAATCTCTGTGGTAAAATTAAAACTATTGTTTTAAAAGCAGTTTCAGTATACTAACATATTTTTGCTGTTGTTTTTTTAAAAAATAACTCCTATAAGCCATTGCTTTTATGTGTCCCTCTGCTCATTTCATTTTATTACTCTCCTGCCTGTTCCTGTTTCCAATGTAACAGGAAAGAACCAGCATGAGTGAATTTGATAGAAGGAGAAGAAGTAAAAATTCATAGATCCGTCCCCAAGGGTGAAGTCCAAAGGCAGGATGAGAAAGAGTCCAAATCAGGTGCTTGGAGTCCCCCTTAATCACACCATATTCTGATGAGCAAACTGCACATGTAAGAATAAATATAGCCTTTCTCTTTCTCTCCACTCTTACTCTCATAACAAAGGATGGCATAGAAAAATAAGAGGTTGCAACAGAACGTACATATCACCAAGAATTCAGCACAAAAAAATAAAAATGGAATTTCCAATTCTGGTCTCTGAATCGTTCTTTTTCTGGGTATATAGAGCAAACTGTCTCCAAGCCAGAAGCAGTAATAATTAAATTAAGAATATGTTTCTTACAGGGTGTCACAAGAATAATAATTGCTTCAGTAACAAAAAGTCATCGCTTGGGCAGACAAAGAACCTAAATAGCACTACTCTTCTGTTTTTTAAAAAAATGGTCCCCCAAAGCAAATTCTTTTTTTATCAGAGGGAGGGAGGGAGGGAGGGAGAGAGAGAGGGGGGGGGAGAGAGAGAGAGAGAGAGAGAGAGAGAGGGAGAATTTGGAAGAGGACACCAAATTATTTTGTTGTCATAGATGTCCATTGCCTGTCAAGCCCCTATTTCTTTGAGATACACTGGTCTGTCTTCCTAACACACCTCCTGTGCTTCTGTGAGCTTCAGAATGCAGGCTGAAAATTACACTTGACAACATCAATATGGAGAAAGTGTCTAGTTGTTTTTATAGCTTACCAAAAAAAAAAGATAAAAAGAAAATATTTATAAAGTCTTTATCACTCACAGACAATGCAATTAATCACATACCCCATGCTATATAATTATTTAATATAAATTCAGGTGAACTAATGTAAAACAGATGGAGACATTCAAAGGGAAGATTAAATATATAAGGTAATATAAGCAGATCTAATGTCCAATGGACCATTGGGCAAAGACCCAGCGTTCTGGAGAAGGCTCTAATACTAAGAAAGGTGGAAGGAGAAGAAAAGAACGACCAGCAGGAAGGTGGATGAACTCAGTAACAGTGGTGATGGATACATTGTTGAAAGATCAGGTTAAGGAGAGATTGTCATAGAGAAGACCTATCTATGACTTCATGGCACATCATCAATAAAAAAAGGTCTAAAGGATTTCCTGCCAAGATGATTGTTTAAATGTAGAAAAAAGTCTTCGGACAAATGTAAATTCGACAGTATGATATTATTCCATCCTTGTCATAGCACTCTTTTTGTGATCATACTACAATGTCAATTTCCTGACAGAGGAGGTTTACAGATTGCGACATGGCAGGGCTTTGTGTTCTCAGGTTGTAATGCAGACAATGTTTTGTTTGAAACTAGGTTTACACATTAAGACTTGGTTGCAAATTATAATAGCTGGATTCAAAAAAAAAAATCAAATAGAGCACATAGGCTAACCTGTGAACTGAGAAGGCAAGCACAACAATTTCTTGGTTTAAAAAAATCAAGCACGCTGGCTGAGGAATTCTGGGAGTTGAAGTCCACAAGTCATAAAAAGGCCAAGTTTGAAGACCCCTGCTATAATGTGTTCATTTATGACAGGAAGAGCAACACAGAAAAGATAGAATCAGGCTCTCTTACTTGGATTTGCACTCACCATCTCTGATTTTTAAACACAGATCTAGTGTCCTTTAAAAAAAAAAAAAGCAGGAATCTATGCATATAGAGAGCCCATCAGTGCTTTCCAAAACACCAGTCAGGCATTACGCAAGGAGCCATTTAGCAGAAGTCAGATATCTAATTGTCTTGTTAGAGCACAAGCTAAAATGGCCATTGTTGTGTCCTGAGCCTGCAAAAGCAGGCCCAGGATGTTGCATTGGTCCCGGGCATTCCAAAAGCTGCACGGGACCAGACAGAGCGGCGCCAGCCTTGTGTGCATGCGCAAGGCACAAAAACGCTCTGTTCCTATTGGTTGACATTGTCCGGGTTTCTGGCCATATAAAAAGGCCTGCGTGCCTTTTGTTTTTCCTTGGTTGTTGTAGTACGAGAATAAAGCGTTTGTTTAACATCGCCATCTGTCTACATCATTCGCACGCGAACGAAGTACACAACAGCCAGGGTAGAAAATGTCCACCTACTGGAGAGGAACAGACATGTCTTCATGTCTTCAACAGCCTGGAGAAGCCAAAATGATCCCCTGAGTCATCACCACGATCAATTAAATTTCATAGAATGTATGGCAAGATTTGTGTTGGAGGAAGGGGGAAAACATTATTGTAAAATCGGAGCAGCTTTCACAATGGATTAGGAATGAAACAAAGGCAACAACATTTACACATTGTATCTGAACTTGTTTGGCAATTAGCAAGTCATGAGGACAAGCACTGAGTTGTCTTTTTCTTCCTAATATATTACTCCCACACCTTTAATTATTAGCTCCTGTAATTGGAGCTATTAAAATCTTAGGAATTTTAACACAAATAGAGGCGATTGTCCTAGAAAAGAGCAGCAAGCAACCATTAGAAAATATCTATATCTCATCATTTTATCTCATCTCATTTATCTCATACAAATGCTTTTAATTCACACCTTGTGTCGGGATGTTTGCAATTTAAGTGGGCAGAACAGGTAGTCTGGATTCCCCTCTGTCTTCTTGCTCATGCTGTCTGCCACCTACCTTCCTTCTTTGTTCTGAAGCAAGGCTCCAGGTGTGCCACTCAGCTGGACAGCAGGTACACAAAGGAAGAAGAGACACATCTTCCTTTTATTCCAACCAGTCTAGCATAGGGCAGAAATTCTGAGATCTCACTAAAGGATTATGCATCTCAAATCTCAGTAACTGTAGTTTGAAAGATGATTCCATGACAGCTTCATGTATTAGTTCTTCAGAAGTTTTATATCCCAATATATTTTATTCTTTATATTGTTTCCATCTTCCCTTAAAACATTAACAGAATCCACAATGATTTGAGAAACAGTGTCTCCACTAGTTAATTGACGGTCAAGCTGAAACTAAATTAATCAAGTAAAGAAAGCAAATGGGGGAAAATCTTTTACCCAAACTTCCTCAAACTCCCAAATAAGTTATCCAGACCTAATTCATATATCAAAGAATAAAGTCTGCAAAAACAAATAGAGTTAATTAAATTAAGTCTTCTGGCATGTTCACAAGAATACATGCACACAGAGACACAGACACTGACACACAGACACAGACACAGACACACACCTCACTGTAGAATCAGCACATAACCACTTCCACACCCTGGACAAGCTGCCTCTATAAACATCTGCTGTTGTACCCCAATTCTCTGCAGTTGCCCCTAAAAGCAAACTATTTGCTTTTAAAAATAAATAATTCTTCTTTCCTCATAGCTGTCTGGATCTCATTTTTATTTATTCTTGTGCAATCCCAGCTTGATTTGGAATCCTAAATTATTCTTCTGACACATTGTATCTTCATCCCCATTTACCTTGCAGTCCTAATTCTTATTCAACATAGGTGCTATTATGTTCAATGATGCTTATTCCTAGGAAAATATGGGTTACATTCACTGTTATCTTTAAAAGTTTACATCCTAAAGCTAAATTATTGGACTGCAGCTTCCATTATGCTGACCCCCAATAATCAGCAACCAGCAATGGCTCTGCCAGAAAACCTGTGAAGGGTAATGATCTATGGAGAAGACTCATTCTATCAGTCCATATCTTAATAATAAGTCCTCCAAATGCCAATTCTGGGTGGCGATTTGTTAGGAGTCAATAGCAACAGCAATAACACTTAGACTTATATACCGATTCATAGTGCTTTACAGCCTTCTCTAAACTGTTTACAGAGTCGGCATATTGCCCCCAACAATCTGGGTTCCCATTTTACCAAACCTTGAAAGGATGGCAGACTGAATCAGCCTTGAGCCAGTCAGGATTGGGCTGCTGGCATTCGGCAGAATTAGCCTGCAATACTGCATTCTAACCACTGCACCACCATGGCTCAATAACTCATCCTAGAACAAAATGTCCCTAGTAGCTAGGAAAGGTTTTTGTGACTGTGTGGCATGAACCCCTTCCACTGAACTGGCTGCTAAGAAATTGCTGCAGGGTGGCAGGGAATATAATTAACTGAAATTTCTGCCAGAGCACATGGAAGTCCAATCTCATTTCCAGTGTCCTAGGCCTGTTTCCTAGTTGCACAATAGACTTGTTATAAAAATAGGACAACCCCCTTTCTTCTCTTTTGTGGTTGTGGTTTATGCTTCCCCTGCTGTCTGAAGTATCATTTTGTTTATTCATTGGTAGCACAGGGACAAACCAAACTTCATTTTCTCTGATAAGGTTAAGAGTCGAGTGCTGTGTACCTTTTCTCCTGATACAGCAAAATAACAGAAGGAAAAACCATCTGGATGATGTGTGTTACAGACTGTTATGAATGCTAAGGCTGGATTCTGATCTGGCCTTATAATAGCCAAAAATGTATTTTTGTTGCCTGTCTAAGCAAATCCTACAAAAAAACACACACTCAAATATCACAGACCCCTATGGTGCCCTCCCTGTAATATTTTTGAGTGCACCAGTAAGGGTAACATTGAACGGTTAATGGGACAAATTACATCATTAATCTTATGCCTAAGAAGGCAAATAGCAAAAGCATCTTTTTCTAATATAGAGATGTAGAATTGGAAGTCCCAGAAGTCCCATTCAGTAGCCTCTAAAGCCCCTGGATGCACACCCAGTGACATCTGAAACTAGCCACCAACCTGTAATTTTGAGTATGAAAGAGGCAGGAAATTATTTAATACACAACTGTAGAAGAATTATATTACCTTTATATTTAATTAAATATAACAAATGAACTCTAACTGCAATATTTTCTGGAGCACAGCCACCAACATGAGTTGGGGCTGGGTTACTTGCAAGTTTTTTCTGTTGTGGCATCTGCCCTCTGGGACTTAATTTCACCAGAGATTAGACTTGCTCTGATCTTACTGGCTTTCTGTGAGACCTTAAAAATTTGGCTTTGTTGCCCAGCCTGGGGCCCAGGTTGTATAACTGAACATCTATCTTGGTTATGTCAACCATGTTAGTTGGTTTCATCTTGGCTCCTCTATTTTTATGATATTTTTATTCTTTTAGCAGCTTAAAGACATATACTGAATGAGATGAATGAATGAATGAATGAATGAATGATCTACTCTAAGAGTATAGGCAGTCACCATTATTTGCATACAGCTTCATTTGTTAAAAAAGTATCTCAAAATGATGAATACTTCCATCACTACTCCACTGTTCAAAAATCACACATACATACATATGTATGCACACATACACAACCCTGCATAGAACATGCCAAAACAGGCTTTGCTTCTAGCAGAACTCATGTGATCAGTAATTATTCATGTTGGTGTCTGCTCTGTTAAGATGTATCTGGGTGCAATCCAAGTCAGACGACTTACCAACATTAAAATTATTGACATTTTAGAGCAGTGGTTCTCAACCTGTGGGTCGGGACCCCATATGGGTTGAACGACCATTTCACAGGGGTCGCCAAACAACACAGTCCGCCATTTTTTTCCCCCTTTTCCTTAGCTGTGCTACTCCCTTTTATTCTATTGGCTTTTGAAAGCCAATAGAATAGAATAGAGTCTAATTCTATTGGCTTTCAAAAGCCAATAGGAATTGTCCAGGCTGTCTCTGCCCTGCTGAGCCTGCCAAAAGTCCCATTCTGCAAACGGTGCTGCACCAGTTGAGTAGTCCTCGACTTACGACCGGTTGAGTAGTCCTTGACTTACGACCAGTTGGGGGTCGCGGCATTAAAAAGGTTGAGAACCACTGTTTTAGAGCATCTGCACACAGCTCCAGACTAACAGTGACAAACAATGACAAAGAGAATTTGTTTCCTTCCTGCAAGGGCACATTTACTCAAAGCTGTCTCTGCTCTATTCATCTACAAGATGGAAGGTTTCCCAGGCCTCCAGTTACTGTTAATGCTCACAGGTATGATACTGAATGCTGCCTTTTCTTAGTCAATATAAAGGTTCAATGATATTGTGAGGCTCTGCTTATCCATTTTCTCTTAATTTATGCAAATGAGTATTAAGTTTTGTACCTATGTTGTTTCAGAAAGAATGGAAAAATACACAATTCTACATATTTGTACTCAGGCTTCATTAATATTTAATATGGGTGTGGTGTATGATTTTCCTCTTACACTTCACTAATCAGATTAGGGATTTTTACTGAGATAAAATAGGTGATCAACTTCTTTTGGCTTTAGGGAGCTACTCCTGAATCCATACAGCATATGAAGAGCCAGGAATGATTTGCGAGAGGATTTCAGAAGTTTTAAGTGACAAATTGTTGCCTTATAGTTGGCATCTATAGGCTTAAGATACCAACTTCTCCTTTTAAACTCAGTCAAAAATACAAAGCAGGGGCATTTTTTTTTTTTTGCCCCATCATATCCAAGGATCTTGAGGTAACAAAAAGGTTATCATACTTTGTGCCATTTTTCTAAGAAGTCAAAATCTATTTAGCTAAATGTACTTTCAGACCAGATAAAAGATTTAGTGCTATCAATAAATACTCTTTTCTTAAAGATAGAGATTCCTTTGTCAAAAAGGTCACCACAGTGCTATTAATAGATAGCCAACAATGACCTAGGCAATAGTCAGAAACAGGTAGTCAAAGTCTGGTAGATCTTTCCAAACTGACACATTTTATTAAAAGGCCAAAGTTTAGTAACTACACTGATGTGGAGTTTAAATTGGGATGAAATGCAGGGAGGGAAAGACAGGTTGGTTTTGCGTACATGTAGGTTACATGTGAGATAGATTACAAATAAATTCTGAATTAAGATTTGTAATGCATTTAAAAACCCATTGGGGTTGTTAAGGCTTTTTGAAGTAGCCTTTTGAGAACACCTTTTGGTATTCAGCAATCTGACACTCAGTTGCTTACTTTAACACCACAATTAAGCAAGCCACTGCTGAACTCACATATAGCAAAAAATTTCAGGCCATCTGAACTTGCCTGTGGCAAGCAAGTTCCATCACCTGCAAAGCATATACAGAACATATATAGATTGGATATATATTCTTCCTCCTTTAGGCCATCATTCTGCGAGACCAGCCTGCCCCAGAGAATTCCAAATATACATTTGTTCAATCCTGTTGAGGCTGGGAAAGTTTTGTGCCTCCCAAGAACTTGTGTTGCCAAGGGTTGAATTAGATGACTTAATCTGTCAACTTTATCAATATGATTTTTGTTCCAGGTCTTTTTGCATCCTGTACATCTTACTTATTACCAAGTCCTTCTACTGCAAGTTTACAAAACACAGGAAAGAGTCCAAAAGAGCTGGTACTAACTCAAGGAACTTCCCTCAGAATAAGAGTTTTCTGTGCCTATCAATATTTTCAAGGGAACACCATTTGGTGCAAAGAAAAACAACACAAAGAATGCCAATTCAAAAATTCAAGAAACTTCACAGAACTAGGATGGCGATATCTGACTACTGAAGCAAACCAAAAGGTCATGCTTGAAGGTGTAATAAATGGTTGCATTTCTTTACTCATGAAGAATCTCCAAGTTGAAGATTCAGGGAGATATTGGTTTGGACTTCTAACTGGTATGAAGATGGTTTCTGTAAACTCAATCAAAGTGGTAGTTCATCATGGTGAGCATTGGTGGATAAGTGGGGGGGGTAACCATTTCTCAGATAAAAGGGCTTTCAGAATATAGGGATCTGACACTGATGCTGGTACCATATTTTCTCTAATGTTGTGGAGACTGAGAAGCCATATGAGTGGAATTTGTCATGTATTACCTTGGTTCACCCTGAGCCTCAGTTAAATTGGCATATTTTAAAACATTTTCATAGTTCAGGAAGATCGTCTCTGTCCCTCCCCCTCCCCCCCCACCACGTTTGTTTTGCTCCAGAGGGCACATGTGTGGTTTTAGCTGTGTTGTTATATCCTATTTTTTTATTTTTGTTTGAATCAGAATGCTATTTTTTGTTACAATACACAAACAGAACCTGCATTATCCCTTATCATTTTCATCTATAAGAGAAAGGGGATTGGGAAAAAAATCAGGATGATGGTCATGACTGTACTATTGAAGCCCCATCCTTTTTACAGATATGCTATATGTGCGACACACATTTAAAAAGGGGCAGAGTTTATTGCATGGTCATCATCTTGACCTATTTTACTACTTGACCAATTTATTGCATGGTCATTATTTTGATCTATTTTACCAGTTGAATGCCTCTGATGTCAAACCTAGCCAAATGCCCTTTATCATAGTATTTTTCTGAAGACCCTAAATGACTTACTAACATCAATTAATGAGATGCTGTTGAATGGAGTATCCTAAGTAATCTTGTTTTGTTCAAAACAGCTATACCTGCACATACATGTGGAAACAGTGTCTAAAGAGCCGTGTGAACCTCACAAAAGTCACAATTTCTTTAATGATTCAGAGGCTTCATTCTCCTTACTTTATTGCAAAGCCCTATTTTGAATGCTTTGCACATGTATTGCTGTAAGAAGTAAAACATAAGACTCCTACATTTGAAAGACCAAACTTATCCCTTTCTTAAACTGTTCTTTTCCTAGGTCATTTCTTGCCTAGTAAAACTTCCTCACTTCCAACATCTAGGATGCTATTAACTTCTACCATATCAGGAATGAAGACACAAGAGGTGATCAAGATACAAGGAGAATCTCTCAGTGTCAAGGCTTTTTGTTCCCAGCAACATGCGCAAGCAGAGAAAGTCTGGTGCAAAGAGAAGCTGCCGAAAGAATGCAATCTTGAACAGCCCATAAGCTTTTCCAGATCAGGGTGGAAAGGTCTCACTACACAACCAAATCAACGCGTCATTCTAAATGATTTGGGAAATGGATGTATTTATGTCTTCATGTCAGCTCTTCAGTCAGAAGATACAGGGATATATTGGTTTGGGGTTCTTGATGGCCCCAATGTAATCCCTTTAAGAAACATCAGGGTGATTGTTCAAAAAGGTGAGCACTAACAGAAAATTGGGGGGGGGGCAGTGCCTTCACATACCAGGAAACTTCTGAGATCAAGATACAGCAACTTGCGCATCGTGTACTTTAAATTATGAATAGATGTGTTCATGTTAAGACCTTGCTGGGCAAAAAAGGAGGAGTTTTAGAAAAAGAAATAGATATTGTGCGGTGTAAAAAAAAGTTTTTAAGGAAAACCTAAAATTTATCTATGAAGAGCAGCAATAATAATGCCAAATATCTCAGTTTCTTTTTTTTTTGTTATAATTTTATTTCCAGAACAGCAAAAGAAAGATATTGTGACTGCAACCAGTGAAGATGAACAAAGGTGTCGACCATTTAAATTGCTATTTGAAAAGATTAATCAAGAAACTGTGCTTGCTGTGGAATCTATTTACTTATTCACTCTTTGAGACACTGCAGTTAGTTTCAATCAATCATCAAAGCAAAGATACATTTGTAGATCTTGCCTCTTCCACTGAGAGATTATTATATTTTAGATCATTCCCAGGCTTCTTTTTTTAGGGCTTGGAAGAGTTCTGATTCATGGTAGAGTATTTAGCATAGTTGTCGGTAGGGGATCTTTGTCTTTCTTTCACTCTAGTAGTGTGCTACCAAGTTTAAGCCGTTTTCGTTTTTCTGTTTCCCTCCGAAAGCCTCATAAAATGTAACTTTGTACTTCAGGTACAAAGGTAATCTGCCAAATTGACCGTTAACTTGTTTTAATTGATGCAACTCTGATTATTGCAGAATTTACCAAGTTGTCTGGGTTCTGGTTTCCATTGCTGTTGGTGTAACAATTTTTGCTGCCTTCTCATTAGTTGTCGTGGTGCTCATCAGGAGAAAGAGGAGAGGTATGTTTCGAGCTTCTTTTGTCTTCCTACAGCTCAGATTCTCATGCATGTTTTATAGCAGATCATCAGACTACTAATGAATATGAATGTAGCTTATGCATATGCAAATACAGTGTATGATATTAGGAAAGTATGAGAACTGCATTCCAACATGAAATTATCTGGACGGACTTTGAGGTTTCATATTCATTTCATATTGTTTAAACTGTATTGTCACTTGTGAATATAGAAAAAGCCTTTGTGAGGCTGAAATTGCAAGAACTGGGGCTTTTTGTCCAAGAGATGCTGTTGTGTATCAACTGAGTTCTACATTATTCCATCTATTTAAAAAAAGGAAGCATGCAGTCTAGCTTGGCAGGTAGAAATCAAGGCCTTCTGTCTCTTGCCAAAACCTCTCTATATCCTGCTGATCTATCTATCAGTTACAATTATTCTATTTTATAGACATGGAAGAATAGACCTTCTAGAAGACTTTCACATAAATAAATCACTTAATATAAATATGAATTGCTCCAACAATGAAAACATGGAAAGGATTTGACCTTGGAAAAATGCTATGTATCTCTGAGCACATCCTATATGAATTTTTCCAGCAGGAATCTTGCCATAGCATGTTGCTTTTGTGCTGGATGCTTCCTGGCTTCAGGTGAGATGGAGTACAGGAAAACTGTTAACAGCTCTTCAGCTTGGGCCAGATACATATTTGTCAACAAAGAAGATGAAATTGTAGCCTCTTCCAGATGTTGCTGAACTACAACATCCACATCCCACATCATTAACTAGGCTAGAAATTGATCTGCTGAGTATTGTAGGTCAGCAACATTTGAAAGAGGCTACAAGTTTCACATCTCTAATGGAAAGAGAAAGAGAAAACATGTTTTCCTTGTCCTTCTTCATTAACTTTTTCACGCAAACTACACTTAGCGATGTATCTATGAACCAATACCCATCTTTAATCCAGTTTCTGAAATATGCAACAATACCATAGAACATACTACAATACAGATCTAGGAAAAGCCCCATACTTCTTCCATAGGCTAGATTAGGATCTCCATGTATAGATTGCATATAGATATGCATCCAGAAATTCATATGGACGTAAAACATATGGCACCATCACCATCAGTACGACTTGATAAAGAAGTGGATGCTAATTTTCAGTTATCCTGCAAAACATAAATATGGTCTATTAACATCTTTATTAATGCTGAATATCAATCTACTGCAAGCATCTACTGCAAGATTAGGAGGTTAGCATTTTTTTTTATTCTTCACAGTTCCCGAGATGACTTTCAAACTTGAAATCCACAATGCAGAAAAAAGGTGAAATGCCGAGTTTGAATCAAACATTTGAGTGTGTCACCTTCAGCAATCTGCAAACACAAGCAGGATCAAGTTTACTAATAAATGTATATTCAGTGAAGAGTTACATATCATCATGGATATCTGACCAATGTATCCATAAAATAGATATGTTTCCCATTTTAATTTTAGTTGTATACAGGGTATTTAGAAGCTCAGCTAAAACATTAGCATGTAAATTGACCCAAAGGCAGGAACACTTATAGGATATATACTAAAATGAGACTCTCTTCTTAATAGTGGCAGATGACCTGAATTTTGGTGATAACCCAAACTGTAGAGTAATAACCTTACAGGTAAGATATCCCCTTCAACAAGTTAGGAGAAATTTTGATCATGAACAGTTTCTTCCTTGCAGAAAATTCATTGTTCAAATACTACAGTTTTTATAATTATTTCCTTTGCTACCATCCTACTCAACTCATATTTTTGTAATTGATTGTACAAAGATTCTGGGGCTTGGATTTGGATTGAAGCAATAATTCTTTCAAGAAAACAAAAACAAATCCATTAATTATGTCTGTGTCATAATTACTGAAACCTGAACAATTTTCATTGTGTAGAATTAAGCTTCAAATAGATACTAAACTTTACTAACTGTTGTGTTCAAAATTCCTGAAAAATAATATCAGACAGTCCGATGTCTCATTACTCAGCATTTAATGTAAACTACTAGTTAACTCATTGCTCTTGGAATGCTGGTAAATTGTCTTTATGTGAATTCCTTAATAACAGACACATTCTCACTCAACCTGTTTTCACAAAGAGCAATGAAAATAGCATCGTTTTTGTTTACTTAAGTTTACAGCAGCACAATGAAGTTCCTCAGGTTTAGAACAGAAAAAATAATGCAGGATCCAAGCTGGTCAGTCACTGGCACTTCCCTGACTGGTTTTGTGCCTGTTCATGCAACTATCTTAGTAGCTGCAATAGCTTTGCAACTACTAAGATTGTTGGACATGGGGGGTACAAAAACAGTCAGGAAAGTGATTGAAGCCTGGAAAACAGGCCTCTTGTCAGTCACCAGGAGTGCTGATTTAACACCAGCCTATCAAGTACTTAGAAGACAAGGGTTGGGCAGCACAAGCAAAAGACAGCTAAGGACTTAAAAGCCAGCCATCAACACACTCCAATCAGCATCTAAAAAGCCATATACAACAGGCACTATAAATACCACACACAGAACAGCTCACACTCTGCTGGAGAGAAGTTCCCTGAAGATGAGCTCCAGCATGAGTCCAAAAGCTTGGAAGACAAAACCTAGATTGGATCCTGCAACATTATCTTGAGACATGTATATTTGCCTTCATTGTGAGAAAAAACAATTGCTCTCATTCTTAATTAAGAAATGTAATTTTATAGAATAATGGGAAGAGGAAGGCAAAAAGTTGCTCCCACTTTGATTTCTGTCCTGGCCCAGCAAGACTCAGTACTTGACAGCATTTCAAGTAACTTATTTTTAAAAACATGTTAGTTTGGCTACAAAACATAGGCACACATTAAATTACAAGTCCATAACAGATAAAAATGCATATGCATATTTCCTTATTCAGTGTTTAAAATAGAATGTGGTCAATTACGAGATTAATTTTAAAAGGGTGTTTTTCTTTTCTTGTGACTGTTCAGATTCATGAAAACAACACTGCCAACAGTTTGCCCGAAGAAATGAATACAATATATTCCATAGTGAAGATGCCCAGATCAAGCATAGATGTTAACAGAACATTTCCATTAAGATCAAATATCTGCAAACATTCCAGTGAGTCAATTGGTGCACTTTCTCCTTCAGGATCTGTAGAATATGCAAGCATCTTCTTTTAATCACATTTCACTTTGGGGTCTAAAAATAAAATAAACTTTGTTGGTTCTCATTCTGCACACCTGGATTCCAATAGTGAGAATATCATTTATTTTAGAATTAGGATCTCTTCTAGATACTTCTTTCTCATATTAGAATATCAGCTCTTAAAATTATAATTAGTCTAAGTCCTGTAGTGCCATTATCTGAAATATCTGCATCAGTTCACAATCAGGTACTGCTCTGTGAAGATACACAACCTTGCCACCACTTAGATGTGGACAACTGAGTCCCAGTTCTTCATATGAGTCTTTTTTGTGTGTGTGCTTATACCATTTGAACAGAATTAATGGTTTGTTTTATCGATATTTTGAGGTAAGAGAGACAAAACCTATCCTAGGTCTTAAAATAGTATAAAAATCAAAAGAAACACCAACCAACCAAAAATAGATATTTGGAATGAACTAGAGTGCATACAGATAAACTACATTATGAATAAATCACATAGGCTGAGGTTCTTTTGGTCCTTTTTTTAAAGCTTCAAATTTCATCCATTCTATGGATGTTTTAGTATCTTCATAAATATAAATTTTAACACACACACAATATATATTTAAATTGCTGTTAAAATTATTCATATTTATGCAAGTGCTCTTCCTTGTGTGAGCAAAATTTATGCTTGGGAAGGAACATGGGCTATTTTATGTAACACTTGACAGCATAATTAAACCTGTATATGTTTCAAGAAAAGTATTTTTGCTGAAATAGTGTCTCTTTAATTACGGCATCTATTGAGATAGAATGTGAGCTAGGGCCAAATAGGAGGGATCAAATGAGGGGTATAAATAAGAAGTGAACATCTTTTTTTTACTTATGTAGTAGTCTCCTCAGCTGAGTTCTAATACAAGAAACGTATTTGGGTATGCAAAAACTATTTGAACAAGGAAACAGGGATAAAGCAGTTGGCAGAGAAAGGGAAAGCGCTTTATCCTTCAACCCAGGCAAGCCAGCATGGGTACTGTGGTGGGGTGCACAGACTGATGCAACACTAGGCAGACAGGTGGGCAGGTGTTGCCAAGTACTACAGAGCATGGGCAAATGGGCAAAGCTACCATAGGCAGGCACTAAAAAAGGTACAGGCAAGTAGTGGGTACTGCAAGGGATTATCGTAGACACTACAGAGCACAGGTAGAAGGTATAGGCAGGCACAACAGAGCATGGACAGGTGAAAAAGTAGCAGGAGCACAAGCAACTTCTGACTTCCTGCTGAATTTCCTATTGACTTTCCTTGTTGGAAGCCAATACAGAATGTGGGAAATAATAATCACATGACCATGGTTCACTGCAACATCAGAATTGCAAGCCAGATACCAAGCAACACCCAAAACTCTGAGGTCTAGTTCTAAGTACCCTTCATTCAGCACCGTTGTAAATTTTAATGGTTGCTGAGCGAGTGGTTGTAACCCAAGCACTACCTGTACTTGTCTAAGTACATACTCACCTCAACAAAGAGGGAAGATTATAAGACTTCTCAGAATACATATCAGCAAAAGAATCTTGATAGATGTGAATGTTTTTATTTTATTTTATTCATTTCAAAAATGATATAAAGTTAACTTTGTTAACTTTGGCCACCCTTCTCTAATCATGAAAGACAATTCCCAGCTTTGTTGCCTCCAAAAGCTGTGAGTGCTCCAACACTGGAGGTTTTTAAGAAGAGGTTAGACAACCATTTGTCTGAAATGCTATAGGGCTTCCTGCTTGAGCACAGGGTTGGACTAGAAGACCTCCAAGATCCCTTCCAAGTCTGTTATTCTGTCAATTCTGGCAGCGCAGGTTTTCATACTTACTGATGTTCATAGAAAGCTTTGTTCTTAAGTAACAGATGGAAAGGCACACACTTATGTATATATTCGTTATGAAACAGATGTTATCAATTGTAGATATAGTCTGAACTAGTAATACATCTGAGTACACATGTAAAGAATTAATTTGTTACAGGGCATGTTTTCTTCAAATTAAGTCTTATTCTATTCAATAGGATTTGCTTTTAGCAAGGTTATTTTACTGCAATAATTACTAACATATTCAAATATTCTCTAAACATCTTCATCCTTTTCAAGCAATGTACACAAATCCAAATGTTTTCACCTAGGATTCTCCCACTTTTTTGGGGGGGTGCTTTTGAGTCAGTGTATCTCCCAGTGACTTCCTGGGCAACTTCCTGCAGTTTTGTTAGCAATGTTTTCAGAAGTGGTTTACCATTGTTAGTTTTGTGCCGAAGGTGGGACTAGAACTCACAGACTCCTGGTTTCTAGCCTGTTGCCTTATTTTTTTTCTTCCTAAGTGTCTCCAAAGCCTATATATCAAGTGTTCTGTTCTCATCACAGTGCTGTTGATCCACTAATACAGAAATTTGAGGATTTAAATTGTAGAGCTGATTTGGATCAGAGATAGAGAACAAGAGAACAGAATACATCTATTAAGCAGCTACAGCAATACAAATATATTTATTATACAGCGCATTTAATAACCATGTCTAATCTGGCTTCTTAAAATATTCACTGAAATCTGCATTGCACTTCTCACGTGTTTCATAATCCTGGGTAAGGAAATGATTCACTACATTCATTTTTAATGGGAACATCTGAACAAACAATTTAGAATACTGAGAATCTGATGACAGTTTAGGTATTAACAAATGAATTGGATAGAGTTTTATCAGAATGATGGCAAACCTGACTGGGTCAAAAAGGTGTCTTTTTGTGGTTGTAATTTTTCAAATTGATTTGTAATTCCAGTCTGTAGTACCTTAAAGTGAATCCTGGAGCATACTGACAACTCGTGCAGCTGGCGGAGTAGAATTGTTATATGTACAGACAGGTACCTCTAATTACTCGTGCCCTGCATTCTACACCAGTTGAAGCTCCAAATACTCTTCAAGTGTATCCCCATATAGAGCACACTGCTGTTATAAAACTGGGAGGCGACCAGACCCCCCCTCTCCTTTCCAGGAACAGGCACAATTGGCGCACAAACCCTATCTGTGCAAAGGCCCTTCTGGTTATGGCTCCCACCTGCTCTTCAAGTAGGAGCCCCAAGATCAGGAGGACTCTCGAGTAGACCCCACCCAGCGCTAGCAATGGAAAGTCATCAGAACCTCTGGGAGCACTAAAACCCAGAGGCACTCAATCCTACTAGGCAAGAGTCGAACCCCTTTTTTCCTAGCTACCATAGACTTCCACAGTCTCCAGACACTCAGACAGGATCACCCAGGATGGAGATACAAAGCTATGCATCTGCATACTGATAATAGATTACCCCAAACTGTCAGAAACAGCCACACAGCATCTTCCTATAGATGTGAAACAGGAGATGAGAAAGTACAGCATTTTCCCACCACCAAAATGGTAGTACCTATCTATCTGTCCACTTGCAAACAATGCTTTCAAACTGCTAGGTGGGCAGGAGCTAGAGACAAGAGGACACTCCATCCTGTAAAGCTATCGGCGCACTGGCAATTGCTTGGCGCAACCAGCATCATTAAGCCTCTGCGCCACTGTATCCCCAGTTGTAGTATCATATAGCTAGAGGAGCAGGTTAAGAAAAAATACAATAAACTTCAAGAGCTGATATGAGTGGGAAAAAAAATAAGACTTGCTTCCTATCTTTTTTATTGAGCCAACAATGGCTCAATTCTCCAGTCACTTTACAGAAGGATTCCATGCCGACCTACTTCCTATAAAACCTGCCCTGTTCCTCTGCTGTAGCTCAGAAAAGAAGCCTAGCTGAGCATGAAACACAAATGCTGCCACATTGCTGGGGAGGTGGCAAGGGGAAGGGGGAAATTTTACTTCATCTTAGCTTTTTTTAGGCACTAGGAAAGGGAAGAGGAATTCAATTCTCACAAGAAATGAGGCACCTAATCTCGCGAGAGGAATAGACTAGAGCCGATTGGATGCTGGACCAGGAGAGGAAAAGCTGGGGAAGAAACTAAATGAGAATTTGGTGTGGTATAACACTGTCATGGTTTTTGGATTGTTAACAAGTAAAATGAATATGGTTTGATAAACATCACAAGCCACATTTTAAATACCATAAGGGTCACTATGTGTAGTTATCACACTTTTCCAAAATATATTTCATTTGAATTTTCAGACCAGTTGCTTCTGTTTTAATCCTAGCCCATTGCCATATTCAAACTTGTGACAAAAGCTGAATATGAGAAAATAAGTTTATTGTACGTCTATTGAGTTAGAGAAAGCATATTAATATGCCTGAGTAATAGAGGTTTTATGTGAATATGGAATTTAAGATTGACTGTTAAGTATAAGAGTGATATATAATGAAACTTAAACATTTGTGGGAATAAAGGGAATGTTGAGTGAACAAAAAGAACTCAGTTGCAGACAGTTTGAAACTCTTGTGTTCCTTAGCTTTTTCTTTTATGCACCATACAATATCTACCCCTTTCTTACTCTTTCAACACTATTAGCTTCTCCTTAAGGGAAATCAAGGTGTTTCCTTAGAGTCACCCATGAGGCAGACAGATCACTAGCCCCAGCAGTGGAATGACAACCTGAGGTATTCACTGTGTATATGTTGATTAAAAATGAAAAAATGTGCATAGCAAATTTTACTTATTTATTTACAAAATGTATAGGCTGCATATCTTACCTTATATCTAACTTATACCAATCCAAGGCAATGCACATATCTATTTTGAATCTTGTACATACTTAAATTTGAAGTTAGTGAGTTGCATTGAGCAAATTGATCAAAAGAAAGAAGCAGAATTGTCCCAAAGTCTTAAGGCATATTTGATTTCATAGCCACTCCAGGAGAAAGAAAGCCTTCTTACATTTTTCACTTGGAAGTCACTCTCTTTAATGCAGCCTGAAGAGATTTCTTCAAGATGGTTTTGTTAAAGTCCAGTGCACCTGATAAATAGCGCTGGTGGCCCAATGCGATCTAGAGAGGGGAAACAAAATACAAGCTAATTCATAACAGTGTAGATCATAAATCCTTCATTACCTTTGTTGAGATTAACTCTGCCATTTTCCTTCATTCCAGTTCCTGAACAGTAGGAGTAGCCAGGAGATTTTTTTTCTGCTGAAAATCACATTCCATGAGGAATTGCAATTTTGCACTGCTGATGATAACTAGGGCCTCTTTTTCAAGAGAGATGAAAACTAATGTTAAATAGTAAATGAAACAAATGCACTACTCTATATGCTTATATATAAGTTACTAAAAGAAATCCATTACACCAATTATACCAGGATATGCAACAGTTGGAGTGATCCATGTTTTGGGGTAATTACTCACATCATTTTGATATTTGGTCAACAGAGTCAGGATCAGCTTTGCGTAATGTACTGAACTTTCAAATGTTTGAGCCATCTGACAAAGATTAAGGACCAACACATTGAAGAGCTCACTAGACAATTCTACCTGAAAAAAGAAGATGATAGAAATTGAGGGGTAAAACAAATATTAAGTACCCTAACGTAAGTTTCAATTGCTTGGGGAATATCAGAATATATGGTTGAATTCTTACCAAGCCTGTACATGTTTGATCCAGGGAAGGTTCCTTGCATGTTAAACTAATCCAGACCTTGGTTAAATTTATTTATTAAATTTATATCAGACCCCTGGTGGCTCAGTGGTTAAAGCAGTGTTTCTCAACCTTGACAATTTTAAGGCATGTGGACTTCAACTCCCAGAATTCCACAGCCAGCAATGCTGGCTGTGGAATTCTGGGAGTTGAAGTCCACATGCCTTAAAATTGTCAAGGTTGAGAAACACTGGGTTAAAGTGTTAATATTGCAGGCAAACTCTGCCACAGCTTGGAGTTTGATCCTTATGGGCCTCAAGGTTAACTCAGCGTTCCATCCTTCCAAGGACAGTAAAATGAGGACCCAGATTGTTGGGGAAAATGTGCATATAATGCTTCTACACCGTAAATTGTCCAGAGAGTTCTATAAAGCCCTACAGGGTAGTACATAAGCCTAAATGCTATTACTAAATGCTATATGCTGTCCATCTCACTATCAAGTGACTTTTTGCATTACTATATATATTTACATATTGGACTTGTTGTATTCGGTGTTTGTTAGAGAACTACAGCAGACTAGATTTGAGAGGATAATCTTTAGCTACTCCATGGATACAATTTATTCAATTACTTAAATTTAAGAAGATTTAAATGCATACAATCACCTGTTTTTCCAGCAAAGAATGCACAACTGTGAGAAGGTCTTCTGTCCATGGCACTTTTATAATATGACTGCAAAGAGATGTGGGAATCAAAACAATGAAAGACATAATTAAAGATGGATGTGCCAGTCACCAAGATTTATGACTATGTTAATTATTAAAAAATGGTTATTAACAATATTAGCTAACTTGGTAGAAAATGGTACAATACCTTTCAGTATTATGTAGGTGCTCCTCAATTTACACAAATCAGGAAACTAATTTGGAAGTCACATTTAACCATGGTTTCTTGTTAACCCACAGCGATACAACTTCACATATGAAATTGGCTACAGAAGATGCACTAGAATTATACGTTTTATACTATTAAAAACTTTTAAATCAATTCAAAATACAAATTTTGCTTTAACTACAAAATGGAAGTTTCATCCGTGGGATATTTGCTCAGGAAGGGGTGTAACTGGCACATTATACCAAGTTGAACAAAGGCTCCCCAAGCACAACTGCCATGGAGCAGATGTCCAGGAGGACCCACAGATTATACATCGATTCCATAGTTCAACCCCATCTAAGACCAAAGATGGTGAATCACCAGACACAGAGAAGCTCCTCCCCACAACCACTCTGTCTTATCAGGGTTCAGTTGAAGCTTGTTGTTCCCCATCCAGACCCCTACAGCCTCCAGGCATCAGGAAAGAACATCCACAGCATCATTTAGTTCGCCCAGGAGGGAGATGTATGCTGATGATATCTCACCCCATGGTGAAGGATGATCTCACCCAGGGGCTTCATGTAAATGTTAAAAGGAATGAGATCACCAAGTCCTGCGGCACTCCGCAGAACAGGGGTGGCAGGCAGGACCTCTCATTCCTTATCAACACTAATTGGGACTGGCCTCTGAGAAAGGAGGACAACCAGCACAAAACCGTGTTTCCAACCTGCAACTCCTGGAGCCAATCCAAAAAGAGAGGAAGGTTAATGGTACCAAAAGCTGACAAGAGGTCAAGAAGAGTGAGGATGGTTTATAGATACGTCTGCAGTTTGTATTCATATAAAAATGTAACAAACTTTTCAATGCAATTGCATATGTTATATAGTAGCAACTGAATATTCCGAAACATCAGACAATAGCCAGAGTGTCTTTGATTAGTCTCAATACAGGTAGTCCTCAATGACTATTTAATGACTATTCAGAGTTATGACTGCCTCAGAACACTTCCAGCCATCGGAAAATGTTGCCTTGGCAACTGGCTCACATTTTCGACTGGCTGCGGCACTCCATGGTCACATGACATAACTTATGTCCTTTTTGATTTCTGGCAAAACCTGCACATTCAGGATAACGGGTTCCTAATTACAACTGACAGATTCAGACTACCATTGCATGATTTACTTAATAATTGCCATAAAAAAAAATCACAAAATCAGGTCTGGTCACAACTGCAATTCTAGTCCCAATTCTAGTCGTAGGCTAAGGACTATCTGTACTACATTTGTGTTTCTACTTACCTGAACACCAGCCTCATACATTCTGGTTCCAAACACTCCTCAATTAGCTTGCATACCAATCTCAATTGCTCAAGTCCTGCAAAAACCAAGATTTCAGAAATCCACTTTATATCATTCAAGAATTATAAAAATGCAAAGATGCATTCTGAGTCAAGCTTGATTCTAAAGACTGCAGCTACGGTTTTTTGGCTAACAATCAGGAAATGGATTGCCAACTGCATTCATCTGGGATTTATTTCAGCTTCCCAGATTTACCAATAACCCCCAAATCCCGAGTTGACTTCCCATTTAAGAACTAGCCAGGATCAATCTTACTTAGTTTCCAAGATCAGGGAAGTCTGGCTAGGACCTACTAGTTGCCATTTGCATTTGCCAATTATTAATCCAGCTATTATTGATGTAACAACACTCTTTATTGGCACAATAATGGGTGGATGACTTTACAAGGTGATACTGTATAAGTATCTGGTTTGGAAATTGCCTAAAAGTATTCTAAAAGATATGACAGGGAGTACAGTACAATAAATATTTTGCCATTTTAATTTGCCCAGTGCTTTAAACAATTGCAGAAGTTCCTAACGCTGAAAACTGGTTTAGTTAAAAACTTATGGACAAAGGATTTTTAAAAAAGACTTAATTTATTCAAAAATAAATTGCAGTGCATCTCTATCCCAGCTGGTCTGTTTGTGCTCGAAAAGCCCCACATTAAGCACACAATCAAGGAGTCACAATGGAGAAGCCACAACAGAAGACAAAAGCATAAGTTCTGTGCAAATAAATAGTATTTATTTTTGCTGCTACGGTATTATCAGTGAGAAAACCTAGTCCTTGGAACAGACAAAATAAGAACTGTAGGTGAAGAATTCATAATAATTTTGTTTTCAGAAAGGTACTGATACAGTTAATCTATTACAAGTTTTGGAACTAGATGTAAAAATAGGAATAGTAAGAACCTAAAACATTTAAATTGCTTTGTAATAATTTCATTTGTCAATTAGCCCATTTTATTTGTTTGTATTTCATCATTCCTGTTTTGAAGTTTGCACTCTTGATTTTTTTTATTTTTCACACAATATTGCTCGTTATGAATTTACCTTTGTTTCTATTTATCCTATTAGCTTTCTTATGAAGTTTCTATAAGAGGCATTTCTGTGGTTTTAATTTTTTTCTCTTTCCTGCACATGCTGTAGCAAAAGTGTAAAATCAGACTACAGATTTGAAAAATATCCTATCAGAGATGTACCTGACTTGGGCATGTTGGCAGCCTCAAGACCTTCAGGAAAATTTCAATTTAGATAGTCTCAAGAAAAACATTTCTATTTCCCTGCTTACTACATACTTGCTCCCATTGGTTTTTTTTACAGTTTATATGAGGAGTGTCCAATGTTGACAATTTTAAGACTTCTGGACTTCAAATTCCAGAATACTCCAGCCAGCCATGCTGGTTGGGGAATTCTGGAAGTTGAAGTCCACAAATCTTAAACTTGCCGACACTGGATACCCCTGGCTTATACTCAGTGCAGTACAGGAGGCCAAGATCCATCCGCACTGGGCCAGTATCCCCCTCTTTATAATCTCACATTTTATATTTCTGAATGTTGCAAAACTCATCCAAGTGAAACTTTATTCTGATTCCAATCCTTCAGCATGCAAACACTGACTTTATTATTGGAAACAATACTTCACTTCTCAGAATAAATTAAGCCTTAGAGAAAACCGAGTAGACCTTATTTAAAGTAGAGTTGTAAGTTCACCTTGCCCTGGAACTTGCACAATAGAAGAAAGTAAGGCGCAACAGACTGGACGAGGATATTTGGAGCAGAACATCATTAGGGCAGTTGTGAGAGGCCAGGAAGCTGTCTCAGTCAGCGAAAGAATCTACAGATCAAGAAGACAGAAAGAAAATAAATACTGCCTAGATAATAAACACTGGCTAGGTTTACATACTGCATTAAGCTACTATTTAGTTAGTGTTGATGAATCTACCTATTTTGTTTCTGGTTTAGTGCTATATGCTTATGATTATGCTAACTAAGCCACCATGGCTTATTCATAAACCATGCCTTAGCACAAAGTATCAACCAAGAAATAAGAGATGCTGAAAGGAAGAAAAACTCCTTCAGATTGTTTTGCTTGGTGGCAGAAGTCAATATGGTAGTAACTTACTAGACATAAAGAGGCATTCCCCTGAATTAGGAAAATGAGAAGGGGATATTGGCATGCACATGAATGTTGCCATACACATGCCAGTTAGATTGTTGCTTGTTCAGGACAATGAAGGCATTTTGTAAATGTTTTTAGAACTGAAGTAATTAATTGATGTATATGTTTTTCAAATTATAGTGTAGTGTTTGTCACTTATGGACAAACTTATTAAGCAATAGTCCTCCAACATATAATACGCAGAGGGGAGGGAAAGCACCCTACAACAACATACAGGGAGAATAACTTCATCTACCAGACTGTCTTTGTTTAATTTCTCTTTTTGCTGAATTCTGTTATCCCAACTGTTTTCCACAAGTTTCTGTAGTTTGGTCTAAATTCTGTGCATGTTCCAGTATTTTTCTGTTATATCTCTCACTTTTTCCCCTTTCCTACTTGCTAATCTATCCAAGGATATGTTAATTTATGTCTCCAAACCAAGAATATTTAAAATTTAAATGTATACAAGACCTAGGTGTGCAGAGAACATGTGACTTCTAAGGGATGTATTACTAGGCTAGACAATATCAGCAGATGGACATAATACTTGCCTGATATTTTTGCTTTGTTTCTTAATTGAGAAACAGCTAAACAGATGGAGTCAGCTGAAAAGGGAGGAAATACTGGAAGGAGTGTTCCATATTTTATTTCTGAAAAATTCCTCCACTCCTAATTAATATTTCTTTCTTTATTCAGCTTGAGAAGCTACCAAGATATATATACCGTAAATGCCGGCGTATAAGGCAACTTCCGCGAGCGCTGAAATCGGCGCCAAAGACGGGGGTCGTCTTATACGCCGAGTCGTCTTATACGCCGGAAATACTGGTAGTTTCCGGCGTATAAGACGACGTTCTAGGAATGCGGCCCGGCTATAAAGACGGGGGTCGTCTTATACGCCGGCTCGCCTTGTACGCCGGCATTTACGGTATATATATATGTTTTCTGAGGTTTGCGCGGGTGTTTGTATGTAGGTCTTTGGTTATTCGGGTTTTCTCCCGTGTCAAATTGGAATCTTTTCCCATGTATACAAAGAAGCAGATGGAGATAAGACAGAAACTATTTGGATTAAAAATACCGTATCTTTGCTTCTCCTTCACTCTATACTCTCCCTATTCTTCCACCAACAGGTTTTTGTATCAATAAAGGACTCTATTTGTAGCTCAGGATTGAAGTAAGGGTCCCTCCGTGCTCTCTGAGCTTGGTTGTTTTCAGACAGACCATGATCCAAACTATTTGTTTTCGCTTTTATTCAAACTTTTTAAAAATAATTTTATCAGTATCATTTAGGATGAGATCCAAATATATGAATACATAACATAACACAATATATAATCACTGTTTATGCAAAAAGTCAAAATAAGTGAGCATTCAAGGAGTTACTTTTCTTAAAGCTTTCTCAATATAGGAGTTCTGGATATTTTAACCATGAAAATGCCAGAGATAAATGTAAAATCCATAAATGACTGTTTTTTTAACCAAAGGCTTTTCTTCTTTAACTGTTTCAGATTCTCAATACATACCCGAGATAAGAAAAGCTTTTCAGTAAGTATTGCTGCCTTCTTGTAGCCAAGTTCAGGTGAAAGTGCTACTATCCAGCAGCAGAACTGCAGAAGCTCATTCTCTGGGCATTCTGAAAGTTTGAGCAGTGAACATAAATCTTCTAGCTAAAGGAAAGGAGACAATATTGTTCAAGTAATTCATTGGCCCAAATCACTTGTATTTGGATCAGTTACAAATGGGATTCAAGGTCAGGTGTTTGGTTTCAAGAAAGACCTGAAGTCTAACCAAATACTCTTATTTGGAAGCCCATTTATGAATCTTCAAATAAAGTATAATTTTTCACCCAACTAACCTGACCTGGAGTACACTCATTCAGAATCTGTAGCTCGGGAGGGGCAGTTCCATTAGAACACTGAAAGGAAAAAAAAAAACTATAGAGATTGCGAAGAATACAGGCTATCTAGCCCAATAGCAAATTCAAATACTTACATCAAACTGCATTTCTAGCAATTCTTTAAGTTTTGATATATGGTTCTAAAAATAGAAGAAAAATGTCAGATGAATCACTCTTGATACCAGGGTTAAAGTCTCAGAGTATTCTAACTTAAGCTATTTATTAATGCAAGTTTAAAAGTTTTAAAAATACATACTACTGAAGTTCTAGGATAAGAAACAGCAGTTGAAAAAGAAACAGAAGCTCCTGGTTCAGACTGTACATCTGCATAAAAATATGTGTCAATCCTGATGTCTATTTTCATAAACTAAAACAAAAAGGTTATTTTTACTTTCTTTCACTTCCTTAAAAATATATGGCTTGTTCTAGTTGTCATTGACAGAAAAGATGGATGCAAAGCCTCACTGGAAATATGTTTGTATCCTTAATTCATCAACAAGGCAAAAGAGTATAAGAATTTAGAAGAGTTTACATACTTTCATATGATCAGGAACCTCTGTTACAGTGTCATGCTCAGAACTCTGGCTGACAATTCTCTTTTCTACTTCATCTTCTTTGAAAAAAACCTGATTGACGCTACTTAGGCAGTGAACATCTTCATTTCCAAAAGTGTCCAGTTCTTTTTCTGTGCCTTCTGTTCCAACATCCTGCAGTTCAGACTGTGGTTGAGAAATTTCTGTATCCAACTTAATTTCCAGTTGGGACCTCTTCCTCTGATTCTCCTCTTCAAGATTCAGAGATTCTTCAGATGCTTTTCTTTTTTTCCTAATCTGCGATCCAGACTGAAAATTATTTCCAGCTGGCACCAAGCAAGACCTTTCCAGTTTAACAAACCAGTTTAATTTTCTTTCTAAATTAGCATTGCTGCTACTATGGGTCATAATTTTCTGGCATAAACATTTCAGTTGTTGTTGGCATGTACTGGACAGCAAGATAGGAGTCAAAAAGCTCCTCTCTTCCATCCCCGCCAGTAGTAAATCCCTTAATCTCTGTACCCATAAATCTGGATTGGGATCTTTTCTAGAGGCCTGAAGCAGACAGCTGAGGCAGTCCTTTGGCACTGTAGATTGTACTATAAGCAACAAGGAAAAGAGATTTCTTTGGCACAACACTGGAAGCAGCATCAATACTGGTTTCCTGAAATAATTATGTAGAAGATAGAAAGCAAAAACAATTCATTGTACAGCACACTACAAAATATTAAAAATATTTTAATTTTATTATTACCCCAACAGCCCTTATTTCCTTTAGAAGCGCAAGGCAATGCACATCAAGGTATCCTCTCATTTCATTCTTATAACATCTATTATGTGAGGTGCAGATTGAGGATCACAGATGATTGAGTTAGTAAGATGCATAAGTTTCAAGATGGAGGGAAGATTTGAATCTGGGTGTACCAGATTCTATCCAAGATTTAACCACACCAGCTATAATGGAATTCTCTCTGAATCTAGGAATGGTAATGGAGACTTGCAAAAAATTGCAGGTCATAAATATTAGTGTTCACCTTCTTTATCACCAGGCAAACATGGAATAACATCTACCCAGTTAGAAAAAAGAATCAAAGAGGCTCTATCTTAACATAATTGATGAATAAGGTGCTAAAGTATATATATCCAGTCCCCAGGATTTGACTCCTTTTCCTTTCAATATATCTGTCTAATGAGGCTCTGTTGAGAATCCTGGCTTCAGGGAACTGTTTGGGTTTGTCATCAACCTTCCAAACAGTGGATTATTACCATATGTTGAACAGCCATTTTCTACCAGCTTATGCTATTGCCAGCTATGCTGGCTCAGAAATTTTGGGAGTTGAAGTCCACAAGTCATAAAAGAGCCAAGGTTGCCTACCCCTGAACTACATCCTTCATCACTGGCTGCATTGTCTGGAGCTGCTGGAAATTATAATTCAACAGTATTTGGAGTGCCACAAGTTATCTATTGCTGAACTAGTTAAATGTCTTGCAGATGCATAAAGAACTGAGAATCTTACAAACCAAGCCCACAAGTGATTTTAACATAGCATAGACCCATAACTGAAATGCATCTAGGATCTGTAAAGTAGGATCCTGATTTTTCTAGGCATCCACATTATATAAAAAAACTTCTTTCCTTAGAAAGCAAGGAGGACAAGAAAGAGAAGGGGTATAGAACTGCCATATTAATCTTCATCTTCACTGGTTCTTGGGAGGAAAATTACATTTTCAGAATCCCTAAATAGGCCCCTCACCTTTCTAATGAGAAACAAGCCCAACTCACGTGGTAAGAGCCTTGTTGGGCTCTTCAAGCACTGGTTCTTGAGAGCACAGTTTCTCAGTGAAGATCTGCCAATTGAAATGTTGTCTTCCTTTTTCTACAGGGAGTGACTGTTGAAGAGTTCGAAAGGCAGCCATGGTTCCCCATTGTCCAGACATCAGTGTGCAGAGAAGAAGTCGAGAAAAATTATCAAATCGCTGCAGCAAAGAAGCCATAGGGATAGCCATACTGATAGACCTGTTGATCAAATTCAAATACATATACATAGCATATAAGTATATATAATTATAAAAATACACACAAATAGACACACATATAAACTTTGGGGGAAAAACTCTTTTGACAACAGTGCTAGTCAAGCAATATGATTTTACAGATCTGTTTTAAAATATATGGCTCAGAACTTGGATATCTGCAGGACCACCTTTTTATTTATTAAAGAAAAAAGAAAAAATAGATATGAAAAAATGCAAGAAGAGGAAAATACAATAACTATAAACTGTATATATGAGGACTTCTTATGCGTATACAGCAATAGCATTTAGATTTATATACCACCCTACAGTGCTTTACACTTGAACACCATCGTCACGGACAAAATCACCCTCAGCCAATTGCAAATGGCAGTTTTTAACTTACAGCTGCTTACATATTGCACTGGTACCTTTAGTATTTTTTAAACATCTGCCTAACCCAGGTCCTTGGGAAGGACTCAGTAGGTAAATAAAAATGCCAAATCCAGTCTAAACATCTGGCCGACGATCCATAATAATTAGCAGCAGCAGCAGCGTTTATTTGGCGATCCACACCCTGAGCCCCACCGTTACCTTGCTCCCAGCCCCACCGTTACCTGCTCCTAGCCCCACAACCTCTTCAGCCCTGGTCTTTTTTCCTTCCCGCGCTCCAGTTCCGCAAGGGAGACGCTCCAATGCGATTGGCGGAAGGCGGGGCAGCGATGTCCTCAGAGATATAAAAAGTTAAGAGTACACCATCTCCACCCAAACAGAGATGAGACTTCCTAGAATAGATCCACATTTATTGCTCCTCGGAGAGAAAACCAAATAAATACGGATCCCTTCCTCATTTTATTACCGTTGCAGAAAGGGACGCTTTCTTCCATGGAATTATATCTCGTTAACATAGTTTATTTCATTTCTTTTTTTGAAGAGTTGAGGTGAAATTCAGTTTCTCCTAGCATACACATCAGATCGGTCAATATGTGAGGAAGGGAACTGTTCCGAAGGCACGTAGTGCAGGCGTGTAGTTTTTATGTTCATAATTTATTTGCCAAATGTATACTGCATAGTCTACGCTATATGATACATGCTAATAAGCTATATATTAATATTCTGTGAGCTGCGCTATGTTATGTAGTCAAGAGGATCCATGATACTATTGCTTTTAGCTCTAGATGTGCTTGGTTCCGATTCCAGTCAGTTTTCTTCGACATGGAAGTGAAAAGTTGCTGACGTCCCTCAGTGATAGAAATCGACTTTTCAGAGAAAAAATACAAAAGCGATCGCTTACGTTTTGCAACTCGTGTTTGAATATTACATTTAAAAGCACGGCGTGGTTATCGACCAGGAAAGATATCCGAGCTTGCTCTCTAATAAGCACCCGAAAGGTCTCTTAAGAGGCAGAGTCAGGGACACACCAACCTTTGGTGTGAAACTAAGCCCTGAAGTAGGAGGTCGACCTCCTTTAGGACAGACATGGGAAACTATGGCCCTTTTACGACTTGTGGATTTCAACTCCCAGAATTCCTGAGCCAGTATAGCTGACTCAGGAATTCTGAGAATAGAGCTGGAAGGAACTTTGGAGGTCTTCTAGTCCAGGCCCCTGCTCAAGCAGGACTATACCATCTGAGACAAGTGACTGTCTAGCCCAGGGCTAGGCAACCTTGGCTCTTTTATGACTCGTGGACTTCAACTCTCAGAATTCCCAAGCTAGCATGGCTCAGCTTGGAAACCTCTCCCTTTCCCTCAGCATGACTGGCTCAGGAATTCTGGGAATTGAAGTCCACGAGTCATAAAAGACCCAAGGTTGCCTACCCCGGGTCTAGCCCCAATTAACCAGTGGAACACTGGAGGCAAGCTGTTCCACTGGTTAATTGTCCTCACTGTCAGGAAGTTTCTCCTTAATTCCAGGTTGCTTCTCTTTGATTAGTTTCCAACTATTGTTTCTTGTCCTGCCAACGTTTGGTGAATAACGTTGACCCCCTTCTTGGTGGCAGCCCCTCAAATACTGGAATACTACTGTCATGTCACCCCTATTTCTTTTCTTTAGACTAACGAAACCCAAATCCTGCAACTGTTCTTCGTTTGTTTTAGTCTCCAACTAATCATCTTAGTTGCTTTTCTCTGAATTTTTTCCAAACTCTCAACATCTTTTTTGTGATATGGTGACCAAAATTTTTTGAAGTCCACAAGTCATAAAGTGGCCATGGTTCCCCACCTCTGCTTTAGGGGCAAGCGACTTCCAGGTCCCACCATAGGAATGCACTCTTCTATTTGTTCCTGGAGAGAAAATTATTGGAAATTAGGAGATCAGATTTTTAAAAAGGAATTCTGGACGCTGAAGTCAAGTTACCAAGATGAGAAACACTGCTTTGGGGTAAATGGAGAAACACCACCTTTTAACGTTGAGAAGAAATCTTTAAAACGGAAATTGAATAAAGTGACATAAAATTCTTTGTATTCAAGTGGAAAACCAATCATGGACAAATATCTGCACACACACACAACAATCCCCCAAATTTGTTCTTATAAAAGAGTTTTTTCAAATGTGGCAACTTTAACATACGTGGATTTGCTGACTAGGGAATTCTGGGAGCACAACCTGTATTAAAAAAATATAAGCACATTTGTAATTCTTTAGTATTTTGTATTTGTAATAGCTTTTGGCTAGAAATTAAATTATAATGCAGATTTTATTGTAAAGGATTTCTCAAGTAGGTTATTAAAAAATTACACTAGTTCCACTGGAATTATTTTGCACTCCAGTCCCTTGTTTGTATATGATCACTATTCGTGCCCTTGTTTACAGCAATGAAAGTATTGTTCCATCAACATCCCCTGATGGCAATCTATCAAGCACTATAGGTCAATCGTGATCAAATTTAAACACTAATGGGAACTGTGGATACTGAAAATCTAGACCAGGGGTGTCAAACTGCTGGCCTGTCGGCCGGTTGCATCATGCGGAGGCTGCGCCCACCCCAGCTCCGGCAATGCAAAAAGTCACAATACATCGCGACACGTCACATGACACGGTGAGTTTGACACCCGTGATCTAGACTGAAGACTGGAAATTTTAGAATTTAAAACCATTGGTTCAAGGAAAGATAATGAACAGCAGTATCTATGTAATGGAAGAAACAAACTAAACCCAATTTAAGAAATTAAATTACAGAACATTCTTTGAAGCTATCCAAAAATCTAAGGGGAAAGATGAGTTATAACAATTATTTCATTAGTGAGCATTTTTCTATATAGCTTCTAAGAATGACCCTAAGAATGACTCCTTAATCAGAAGACTTCATACTTAGGAATATTACTTGAATAATATATCTTTATATATTCAACTGTTTGTTTTTGCAGGCATATCCAATTGTGCTAGCTTTCTTTGCTTCAAAATGATTTGGAAGAACTATTTCAGACCTAAAGAAGCACAGGAACCTCTCTGCTTTTCATTACAAATCTGAAAAAAAATGCTGCTGCTTTAAGAGTCGTTTTACTTATCTTTAGTAAATCATCTCCCTAAAGCAACTACATTTTTCAGGTTCTTATGGAAGCCAGACCAAAAATTAGGCTACTTTAATAAACCAAGTGTATTTCCTCCAAATAATTTTCAGAGCTTGCCTAAGCTCTACTCTTTAGAACTATGAAATGTTACTTTTTGTCATCTCTTCAACAATGTATTTCAGTATTAAAATAGAAAAAAGACAAAATACAGTAAACATTGGGGGGAGACATTAAAAGACAGAATGTTTTGTTTGTATTTCTTGAAAACAGAAGTTTGATGTGATATCATTTGATGTGATAGAAAAAAAAACACTATAACAAATGTTTGCATATTTCTTTTTATTTCATGATCTCCAGATATTTCTGGAATTAAAAAATACGTAGGGGCTTACTAATCCCTTATCATAAGGGTTTAAACTACAATTCTAAGCCTCCACTGCTAATTGATCACTGCACCAATACTAAAAATTCAAGATTTATACTTTCTCCCATGCCCACCCACCCCCCAAAATTAGGCCTACTATATAGATACCTAGCAGCACTGCTATATAATAGTGAGTTGCAGATACTGCCTACTGTAAATAGCATTGCTCAGCAAACCAGTTTTCCTGAGGAAACAAATAAGCAGCAGCGTGACCACAGGTGATCACTTCTCCAGAATACATGCAAAATCAGAAGATCCAAGCATCCTTCCATAGGACACTTGTAAGGCTGTAATACATGACATATTGGGAAATTCAATACATGATCAGCTATAAGGGTGGGAGGGAATGCAGAAAATGCAACAATTAAGGCAAGGAAAGGTTAGGGCCACAGCAGTGCAATTGGTGAAATGTACATCATGTGCTGACAGTGGTGATAGCAATTATCTTGCCTGGTGGATTAGAAGGCCTTTCCCAATATAGAAGGAATCCTTGCATTGTGTTCTCTTCCAACTTATGGGTTCCAGTCAAAATACATCCGACAGAAAACTAAAAGCCATTAAGCTTATTACTAATAAAGACATCTTTCATCCCGCACCCATCCTCCAAGGCACCACTTTACATTTCATCAACATTGTTCCTGGAGCCTGTTACACATTGCCTCTGAAGAGGACACCATCATCTAATCAGAAGAATCACTTGAATCCCAGAGAAAGTCTGAAAAGTCGAAGTTTGTATCTTTGTGCAACAGCGCAAAGGTAAGAGCCCACTGAATAAGGCACACATCCACATCCTCATCCTCCTCTTCAGAGCTGTCAGATGGAGATGGATTGTAGGCCTGCGATACGACAGAAAAACAAATAAATAACACACTGACATAAAATCTCTCCACCAGTCTGTCAAAAAATGGTTTAGGATTGAAAATACAAATTAAGGCAATG